AAATGTGGTCAATAATAATGTGACGACGACAAAAACGGCCAATGTCAAAAGGGTACAATTTTCAACGTAAATCTCGCCTAATATAGAAGAGAGACATTAATTTTTTATAAATAAAACTATTTTTTTTGAAATATAAAAAATTTACCCGCTTGGGATAATTTTAATTTTAAGGAATGTATATTAACTTTACGTTAGCAAATAAATACTTTGTAACTCCGTTCTTCGGAGGGGAGTATTGTGGTGACAACAACCTCGCGTAAGATTGTAGCGTGAGTTGACAACACCGCAACAGGCCCTCCGAGGAGGGATAAAAGGCGCTGCCTTTCGGCACCCGCCATCTTATGTAGTTTCAACTTACGAGCACACCACGTGTACGTTACGTTCCGTAAAATATACGATTTGTTAGTGTTTGCTGCTGGTTTTCATTTGAATCTATCGTGGCGGTATATTCCGAGCTACCCCTAGTTAGCTCACTCATACAAACCTCCACATATTAACGACATGTCAATTTCAAATGTCTTTGATGTCAACGTTACATTTGTGGGTAGATTTTAAATTGTGCTCCTCAAAACTTCAAATGTACGACAGTATCGAAATGGGTAAAAATAATATAAATAATAAAGAATATTATGTTTTTATTTTCTCTCAATTAAAAAATCTTTTAAATTAAAAAAACTTTCTTCTCAATTACACAACATTTGTATAACACACTTTGTTATTTTTGCTATAATTTTAGAGATATTTGACTGGTTCTTTTGAGGCTCGGTGATGATGTCGTTTGAGGTTCTCGGAATTTCTAGTTTCCTCTATTCTTACCTTAAAGATCACTTTAAATGAAGCACTCTCAGTGAAAATTTTTCCTGGAGGGTCCATAAATTAAGCCAAAAAACACTCACAAACTTTTGAAATTTGAGTTTGCGCAACCTGCTCTTATGCACGAAGGGGAGATTGTCCGGTGCTACTTGCTGCTAAATCGTGTTTTAGGTATCAACAATTCATAACTCTACATGCAAAATTGTCGCTAAGATTCATAATAATTCCGTTTTTTGCAAAAGTTATGTAGCATGTTGATAGTCAGTTGCTGGATTGTTTATATTTCTTTGGCACAATGCGGTGTTGCCACATATTTCATCAATTTATTAACATTTTGCACAGCACAAACACCTGCTTGAAATTATACCGCTTGAAATTTATCCTGAAAGTGGCGATTTTCCTTAAAGTTTGTAAATGTTTTTTGACTTAATTTCTGGACCCCTCAGGAAAAATTTTCACTGAGAGTGCTTAATTTGAAGTGATATAATTTCTGATAACTCTGATATAATTTTATAAACGTACACTTATTTGACATTCATTAAATTTGAGATGTACTATGTTTGTACAAACACTACTAACAATGTACAAACGTCAAAGTCAACAAAAGCAGCTAATGTTTAGCTGCATTAGCAGTCTCTGTTAGCATATGATTAGCATTTTATCAATACCATATTACCTGATCCTCGTCATCATAGAAATAATTACACAGTAATAATTACTGTTCTGGTATCATTCTTAGAGAAATGTAAATTGTTTCCTGACATACCGAGGTCACTGATTATAAGGCCGGTTTAGGGCTGTGTTGCAGTTATATTTGTTGCAAGATGAACTTTAGACCGATCTGCTGATTTTCATTCTAAAACAATTACTCACAAAACACGTGTATTAGGTGAAGTGTAGATAGCTCAACAGCCTACAATTAACAGTTACGGCACTTACAAAACCTTAATTCTGGTGAAGAACTTGATTTTTAACTGTTTGCAACCAACAATCAGAACAATGTCAGGTATGTGGATTGTTGCATGCATTAGGCCAATTTCTGATTAGGGAAAGCGTGCGATTAATTAAGAGGGGTAATTGGAAACGTTTTATCATGCCTGAATAGTTTGTATGACCTCCAAATGTTACTTTTCAATTTTTATTACATAATATGACATTCTATCATTATTCACTTGCATTTGCCTCAGAAATGTAAATCTACTGCCACTGCCAAGGGTCAAGTATAAAGGTTATCTATCCACATTCAATAGATTTATAGTAAACTAACTTGCTGCACAGACAATGTTTTTTTTTTAACTAATCAAGTTCATATTAAATTAACTCATGCATTTCATTATTACTTGTTTCACTCTGGAATTTCTTACCTATTTACATGTTTTTTAGTAATGCAAAGTAATGGGTATTCACAGCTGTAAAGGGTGCCTACATAATATACTTGCAGAAAAAATGGCAGAAGCAACGAATTCAGCTCCAATGGAAGTTGAAGAAAATGGTCTGCAGAATGGAGGTAGTTCAATTCCATGTAAGTTATTTGATATATTTTATTCACTGATTATTCTATTTTCTGAAATGGTTTGAAATATGCAAAGTTCAGAGACGAATTTATTATACTTGAGGTAGAAATATATTGAAATTGTAAGTGATTAGTTTCTTAAAGTTAAATATTTCTGTTGCTCAATAATGGAAGCTCGCATGAAGCATTAATAATTGGAATATCCAAAACGTGTAGGATCTGGAATATTCATGGATACAGGGTGTCCCCGAAATGATGCTTAACCACAAATTCAACTGCCAATGTTGCTCCATTTTGCCACTCCAGGGCGCCAAAGTTCTCAATTTTATATCGTTTTATCACAATAGTTTTTAAACCCCTATATTGATGTTCACTAATTTTGTAACAATTACTACATAAATTGACGTAAGCGGGCTTTTTTTTGAATGCGTGGAAAAAATGATGCTTGGTTTTTTGATACCCTTTGAACAAATAATTTAATTTGATAAACTACATTTTCTGTTAGTAACTTATTTTCTATTGAAACTTTTTTGCTTCGTTTCGTCAGACATACAGTTTCTGTACAAAAAATATTTACAATACTTGGCAGATCATCATTCTTGTGGAAAAAAATTATACAAATTCGTTTTTGTTTGCAAATCTATTGAATTGATGATTCGAAACAGTACTGGACTTAACTTATCAAATTATTTCGTACATTTGACCAAGTTTTTACTGTTTTTGGTTTTGAGCGACGGTTGAACTGGAGTTCACCGAAAACTTAGTGTTTTTTGTTTCTCTAAAATGGAAAATTATTCTATTGTTGTTTGTAGCTTCTAGTATAATTATTATGTGAGAAAAACAGTCGTATGAGTTTCAGAGTTTATAGTAACAAATATCCAGACTACAGAATTCTAAACCATCAAACATTTGTGAATATTGAAAGACAGCTTGGAGAAACGGTAGTTTGAATGCAATTAATGTTAAGCGTAGATGCCAACGTACAATTAGCAATCCGGAGCGATCGAGGAGATAGTTTTGACTCAAGATTATGATCCGAAATCAAGTTGCAGACGCTTGGGATTAAAAAAATTATATTCATAATATTCTCATCCGTATCATTCTCCAAAATCTTTTGCCAATAGATCCTGAAAGTTGGCTAAAGTTGCCGTTTTCAAAAGTTTTTATAAGAAAATTTATTTACTGAAGAAGCTACGTTTTTTAAATCGGAAATTACAAATGTACATAACGAACATGTGTATAGCTATGAAAATCCGCATACCATGGGAGAAATATTTCCAGCTTGATTTCAAAATTAATGTTTGGCTGAAATGAATGACAATTTTATTGGTCCAGTTGTAATGCCAAATCGATTAAATGGAGATAACTATTTACTCTTGCAAAACACTTTACCTGGTTTATTGGAAGATCTTTCTTTACAATTTCGTGCCGAAATGGTCGCCACTTCGCCTTCCTCAACTATGCCGTTGTTAAAAATTAAAATAGTTGCATAAATGAAACGAATTTAGGAAGCTTCTTCTTTTTCACGTGCATTGAACACATTTACTTGGAGTAATTTATCCTCTTTAAACCACGTTTTATTATGCAATAATTAAGATTGGCAACAACGGTTATTAGCTATTCAAACTCAACCATTTCGGTTCCACGATCTGGCCACTATCTTAAACATTCGACCCAAAGGTTAATAGCAACAAAATCCAATTCTACACTGGGTAGTTTACGTAATTTACGTGAAAATTATTCTATTCAAATACGTTTTAATATATGCCAGTATTTAAAATGCTCTGCTTCGGGTTTAAGTCCATGTCGTATGGGGGTTATATCAAGTTGTGTGTGTCTACCTCATTTAAAGAAATATAAGACTTAAACGCTATGCATTCTTTGTAAACCGTTGTTAACTGGGAGCCTAATTATTAGGGTTTATAGTGAGAAACAGCTTAACCTCAAGTATGTATTTATTTGTGCTAGAAAATATACGTTATTCAAATTATTCTTGGGTGTCTGAAGTCTAGGCGTTATTTTCTTCACCTTGTGACGAAAAATGTTCTTACATGCATATTCAAAGGATATTTGAATTTGCCATTAATTAATCAGTACGACGCTACACTTATTTTAGGGACATTTTTATATGATTTTTTTCAATAATTATCAATAATCAATTTAATCGCTTAATGATTTTTATTCAAAGTTTCAGCCTTTAAATTTTTGAAACGGTATTATTATTTGTATTAAATTAATCGAACTATGGAATCTAAATGCATATACGAGGTGCAATTTTAAAACCTTGCAATGACTATACCCTAGTTCTTTGTATAATAAACATGGCAAATCAAAAATACATACATACTAACCTGACCTATCCATATTTACCCCAACTTTTTAATTTTAACTGGCAACCCTCCACTTGACCAAAAGCATTACATGGTTCCATTTAGAGCTCTTTAATAATACTGTATGGTATTCACTTTTTCATTCATTCGTCAATTATTTAAATGTTTTTTGCAGATTAAGTTGTTCCATTCTTCAATTATCTAAACCATTAACAAACAAGACAATCTCTCAATAGTCCATTATTTCAAATATTAGTCTGCTCTTCCCATCTATTTTAATTGCTGAGATAGTGCCATTGGAAGTTTTTAAAATGTTACTATATTCAAAAACCTTGTAGATCACCAGAATATTCACATTACCGATGGAATGATACAATTCCACATATCTATGCATGTTTCCGAAACAACCACATCTCGACATTGCGATATTTTGAAGTACAATGATATAATATAAATACGCTCGATTTTTACAATAAACGAATTTGCTATCATAGAAGATAACGACAATCTTTTAAATATAAATATACAAGTATTAATTACTTCGATCGTTCTCAATTCATCCAGAGCAGTTTTAGTGTTGTTTCAATTAAATATGCTTTAGTTTCTTGACCGTTGTGTATTGAGCTGTATGAGTTAAGATGGAATTTGCGGGATTCAATGTGTTTGGTATGATCTTGTTCTGCTTTATTTTGAATAGGTAACCATATTAACTAGTGTTAATGACGATTTATTTAAATTAATGTTTCTCAAGATAACCCACTTCAGAATTTAAAGTAATCCGATTCGCGTAAACTGAATTAATTAGTCGCCGCATTGACTATTAAAATAATCATAATATGCGGTAATTGCCACACATGGGAATGTTTTTCTTAATATATTTTTTATTATTTTATGTCATGTGTTTTTCCTTCATTACATTCATTATGTAGTATAAAATCAAAAATTAATAACATATTTATACTTATCTTTTTACTTTCAGCGATGCCATGGTTTGGAATGGACATTGGTGGCACTTTGTGCAAATTGGTATATTTCGAACCGAGAGATATAGCCCAGGGTGAATCCGAAGAAATTGAAATCCTAAAGAACATTAGAAAGTATTTAACCAAGAATTCCTCCTATGGCAAAACGGGACATAGGGATACCCATTTGCAAGTAAGTTTTTAAAGTCTATTTTGAAAACCAGATCGTCAATAGGGAATGTTGTTTAAGTGATGTTTATGTGGGTTTCCATTTGAAGAACATATTGCGGTCGCCAGCATAAAAGCGATTTGGCGACATTAAGTTTAAATAGACAATATAAAATGTATTCATTTATTTCAGATGGATAATGTAGTGTTAAGAGGCGTAGTAGGGTCAATCCATTTCATTAGATTCCCTACTTCTCAGATGAAAAGATTCTTAACATTAGCTAATCAGAAAGGAATGGCAAAGCTGGTTACTACAGTTTGCGCTACTGGTGGCGGAGCCTATAAGTTTGAAGATGATTTCAACAAGGTAAATTGGATACTAATACATATATATGCAGAATAAATTGATTGCTTCATTTAACAAATTTCTGTTAAATAATATTAACAAATTCACCTCAAGCAATATCTGATTTCAGCACGTAAACATGAACTTGGAGAAATGTGACGAATTCGAGTCGCTTCTCAAGGGCCTACTGTACATCGACAAAAACAATCTAACTGAATGTTATTACTGGACAAATCCAACGGACGAAACCAAATGTGCCAAAGTTAACTACGACTTTTCCAAGCCATATCCGTTCCTGCTGGTTAATATTGGTAGTGGAGTTAGCATTTTAGCTGTACATAGTCCTACGGACTATAAAAGAGTGTCAGGAACAAGGTAAGTCTTAAGTGAAATGAACATCAAATCGTTCTTCAAGATTTTTCCAATACGCAGTGTCCAATATTTGGAACTTAAAATTAACAATTAACTTAACTTCTAAAATATTTTTAAAAAAGTCCACTCGCCTTTACTTTATGATTGTTTTAATTATTGCGGTTAATAGAGAGTCGATCATTTTATAACATCATTTTATTTAATGAAAATTTACATGTAGCACTGATTATCCTTTACGGAATCTAAAGAGCATCTGTGCCAGTGCAAACTTCTCGTTTATTATTATATACATAGATTAAGTGAATTTATTAGAAAAGATAGATTTCGTTGTAAAAACAGTAATAAAATATTTCGTTTTATTTCAGTTTGGGAGGAGGTACATTCCTTGGACTATGTTGTCTATTAACTGGGTGTAACACTTTTGAGGAAGCAATCGGGTTGGCAGCTGAGGGGGACCACACAAATGTAGATAAATTAGTTAGGGACATTTATGGGGGTGATTATGCAAAATTCGGACTTCCTGGAGATTTAGTCGCCAGCAGGTAAACACTAAACACATAATAAACCATGTTCAATTTGTTTGTTTATGTCTGTTTATTGCCTTTAGTTTTGGACAAATGAATTCCCGAGACCGACGAAGTAAAGTCAAAAGACAGGATTTAGCACGGGCAACTTTGGTCACTATAACGAACAACATCGGATCGATTGCCAGAATGTGTGCTATCCAACAGAATGTCGACAGGGTATGTTTTATTAGATTGGTATTTTCATATCTATCAAGCAGCAATATTATAGCTTAAATTGCGGCAAAATATTCATCTACTAGTTAATTGTTCGCAAAGTAATTCGTCTTCCTATTTTATTTTTACATTGAGCCTTGAAAAATCATTTCTCTATAGATTAAAGTGTGTAGCCAAAATTGCATGAGTGTGTTCTGTGCATATAATCAGTTCCTTTGCTTTTGATTTCAGGTAGTGTTCGTGGGCAATTTTCTGCGCGTTAATCCAATCGCAATGAAACTTCTCGCATATGCCATGGAATACTGGTCTAACGGTTCAATGAAAGCACTGTTCCTTGAACATGAAGGCTATTTCGGAGCAGTTGGTTGTCTGCTTCAATTCCATGGGGATAGGTGAAAACCGGTTGGTATATTATTAGTATAAGAATTTGATAAAGTGACTTAAATATGTATAGCATAGATTTTATCATACAGCTAGGGCACTAAGAGCAAATGAACGATAATGATTTAAAAAAATTATATACAATAATTAAATAACAATAAATAACACATAAAAAGGTTATTGTTTTTGCAATTACGATTTTGACAACAGCAATAGAACATTTTTGCCTTAAAAGTTAAAAGGAATAAATTTGCAACTTTAAAGACCTGTTTTGTAATGCACTTTTCAAAATCTGTTTGAAATATGATTCATTATCAGCAGAATCATCAGCGTTTAAAAAACAGTAAATAAAGGAATCGTCTAAAGACCACACCAAGTATTTACTACTCTATATCTTAAGTAGCATTGACTTTAAATCCTCTTCACAATTTGATGCCCGATGCACATAGAAATTTTATAAAGTTTTGGTACAACTGTTTTGAAGTGGGTTTAACACATTTCTCTTTTAATTTGTTCAAAGTAATTTGAAAATTAGTCTTGTGTTTTAGTAAAAAAATAGGGCACCTGGCAATGAATTGATGTAATTCTAAGAAACTGTGTATGGAAATTTTATAACTATTTATGGAATTAATATTTTTGTTCAACTTTTTTTATGGCAAAATTCAAGTCCTTAGAAAAATTAAACGCATTTGTTTAACAGAGCTTTATAAATGCAAAAGACACTTGGCTGAAAGCCGTTCGAGTTTTTGAAACATTCAACTGTTATCAGCGGTTTAGTAAACAGTGTAAACACGCGATCGATTTTGGAAATTTTTTGGGTAAATCATGCTGTTGCGGGCCAGAAAACGTGATTTAGAGCTTGTATAGATCGACGCTAAAATGTGCCGTTATAGTGGCCTAACTGTATGAAACACGCATAAGCGGTGTTTATAGTACATAATCGTTAATAGGAACTTTAAATATCATTCCACCCTGATATATTTTAATCAATTTTATTAGGTGTACAAATTGAATTTGGTCATAGTTTTTTCTATTTATATCAATATTGTTTTTAGCACAATTTTTGTAACTTTTATATGGATTTTTTAACCATTTATATGATTCGTTATTACTTCACGGCAGCCAATTGGTCGGTATTAGTTAGCATTCATAAATGAAAAGACTTGCTAGAATGGTTATTGTTGTTCGTAATCAATTATTGTTTGTGCATTAGTTAGATCGTTACATGAGTTATAAGTCTAACTTGCGCTTATGTTTGAAAACAATATATATTGAAAAACTGAAGGCAATTGGTTGTAGGTTGTTATTAATTTGCGAGAGTATTACAAAATTTGGGTCTATTGGAACAATTCATACATATTAATAGCATTTAGTTTTGCTGGAATTGATTTTGTCAATTATGATTATTCTACAATTTGGTCCAATTTCTACTTTTTTACAGTTGTTAAACTAGCGACAGGTATATACATATAATTACTATTAAATTAAACATTTACAATACAATGCCCGTAATAAAGTTTTAATAAAGTTCTTTATTTGTAAAATAAAGTATGTATCTGAAAGCCTACACTAATTCATTCGAAGTACTTTTGGTACCTGCTTTACTTATACTTATAATATTGTCATAATTTGACTGAGAAAAAGTGAATATGTAATGTTACCATTACGTATTTACCAAAATATGCTGAGTTAAACTCAACATATATGAGTTTGAATTTATTTGAAAACAATTTCAGATACTCAGCAAATGAAAACTTCGCACTTAAGTGTAAGTATGTATCCTCGTCTCTTGGACGTAATGTGCACTTAAATATACTTGTACGTCGTAAGCTTGTTATCGTTACTTGTTTTTTTCTGTACTATTAGTTGTAGTAGTGCAATCGAGGTGATGGTTAAGTAGTTGCGTAGATTCACGTTATGTAAACAATATGCAATTTACACTTAACATTTGTATTTATTGACAAAAATATATTTTACATTAAAATTGTTGCTAACTCAAACAGTTTGTTTTTTCGGCATATTTAGTCAACCCAGCATAACCTAGAAGGGAAAACCTGGTTAATTCATGATCATCTGTTGTAACGCGTAATCATTCATACAAGCCTATACTAATCCAATTTAAAGAGTTAATAAATTTCAACACACAAAAAAACACTTTTTTTAATTGGGGCCGTACTGGATAGTTAATTTCAAATTAATGAAGTAGTTTTAAAAACAATTGTTTTACAAACATTCATTTTGGTTCGCTATTTTTGTGAATTGTATGTTAAATTATTTATATTGGAATAGGGAAACCAGTTTTACGAGATGGGTGCATTAGTACGATGAGTAGTTTAGACTGAAAATAATCAGAAATCATCCTTATCAGGTAGAAGCAGCTCATTATCAAGTGGTCTTTAAAATCTAGATTAATTTTAAGAGTGCTAAGTGCAAGTCGTCATATCCATAGGCATTGTGACGTATCGGAAACATTAGTAAAAATACCGGGCTACTTCTCGTGCGCTAATTCCATATACTCGATTTACCGGCATACTTCTCATGCTAATAGAAGTTATATAGAATATATTTAGTTATAAAGAATAATAGTTATAAGTAAAATATGGATGAAAAATATAGTTGCATACTGCATTACAAGAAATAAATAACAGTTCTTGAGATGGTCAAAAAAGGACAATCACAATTGAAATCTGAGGACAAAATAAAATGCCATATTATGTAATACCGAATTCTAAACATGCGGCACAAATGAACTTGATCACTTAACCAGTTGAGGGCGAAAACAGACATGGAAACATCAATTAGATGCAAATAAACTTTTTAATTTCAATTTATTTTACTATTGAAAGTAAAACTACATTTCTAATTATTCAATGCGGTCGATTTCTCATTTTAGGCAATGCAAATCTGGCTACTCTTCACAACCTGCAAAAAGAAAGTAGAGCAAAAATCATAAATAAATCTATAAAATTCACTTAATGCCAAAAAGGATTGAAAAACTTGCCTCTTGGTAAATTCTATGATTAAACTGAAATCTCTTAAGTGAAGTTCGATGTGAAGCGGAATATGTTTAGAATTTGATTTTACATATGACATTTTATTTTGGGACTCGTCTGTCTGTATATTCTGAAACATTATTAATTTTAAATAATTACATGATAAAATATAAGAAACGGAAATACTGATCATATGCCCAAATACCTGCAGCTAAAAAATGAGCGGAATTCCACAGCGTATTAAGTATGAAATGGGAAAATCAATGTTGACTATTAATGACTTTAATAAAGAGAATCTAACTATTATCTTATTTTATCAAAAAAAACCTGACAAGTTACGAACATCTTGACGTAATCTCTCATTGGCTGGCGCCCATAGCCACTAAAATCCATAATATTCAGATTTTGATCAACAGCTGCAAACAGGTACTCCGAATCAAAGGACAAACTATATATCGGCGAATTTAGTGTAGATCCTTTGCAAGTTCTCATAAAGTATAGCTAGAAATAATAATTGCTGAACAGCAATTAAGGCATATTAATATATCGTTACCTGTACGCAGCGTTTGGTTCTAATATCCCAAAGTGCAGCTCTACCATGTAAGTAAGTACCGACCATTACACTGTTACAGTAATCGTAATCTAAACAGTAGAGACCAGCTCCAAATGCGTCGTGAAACTTTTGTTCGCATTTTCCCGTTCTAAGATCCCATCTAAAAACTATAATTGTGGAAATTTCTATGTCGCATGCCAATGTTAGTTATAAAGATATTCAAGTGTGATAAATTTTCACGGAGAAAAAAATGTTTAGACTAAAAATTTTTGCGGGGCAAATTCTTACCTTCTTAGATGACTATCATTACCACACGACCAAATACCATGTGGACCATCCCATTTTATATCAAACGTGGCAGATATGAACTGGCCTAATTTCAAATTTAGGACTTCCGTATATCTAGGACAAAGAGCGGGTTAATTTGTTAATATAATATCTTAAAATGTGCTTTTATTTTAACCGCCTCTCGGTTTAAAATTGATCTAAATAACTGGGTTTTCAGTCCATAAATGGGCAAATTCCAGATTTATACGTTTGTGCTTTTAAACCATGACCGTATAAAATTATTAGATGAAATTGAATAAGTTTGCATGTTTACGATAAAATTTGTTCACATTTATATTAAAATCAATGCATAGGTATATTTTGGCATTTAACAGTTGTTAAAGTAACATCAAAAAAAATTGTTGTTTTCAAATCAAAGTTTAATTTGGTGAAACATGCATTTTGCGATCACTGAAGCGATTAATATTGATCAAGCAGTTTCCGCTAAAAGAAAAAGCATTTCCGTAGATGTAGCTTTTAAAAGTTACAAAAAATTTGATTCTATTGTACTGAAGGTTTCAGTCATTATAGTCAGCAAACGGCATTTTCTTGCTGAATAATCTAATGCCTTGGTTTTATATCTTGCTGCTCAAGTTACAATATTGTCTTATTACATCGCTAGAATTTCATAGTTTTTTCAACTGCACCATGAAATTCTTTGCACCATAAAAAACATGTCAAACCTACCTTTCGGTATCAAATAACAATATTGATTTTCGAGTCGGCCCTCCTGCAGATGTCCCGCAAGCAAATATAGGACTATCGTCGCTAAAAGAAACACACCATGCTCGTTGTCCTAAGTTGTGTGTATGTATTAACGTCAATTCTAAATTGGAATACACATGTAAGGTAGAGTTCATATTTATAAGTAAGCTTTGAATTGAATGATATATTAATAGTTTATTTTTGTATTGTTCTGTTACGTTTCCATTTAGTTCTCAGGCTACGAATACATTTTGACTTTGAATTTATTTAATATAACGTGTACCAAAACTGATGTTTGCCACTTGAATCGTTTACAAAAAATTATTTACAAATTAAAAATTTGTGATCCCTTTGAAGAAGAGCAGCGAAGACCGGTTAATTCGGCAAGGTCAAACTCATAAAGGTTTATTCAAAAGAACCTCTTCAATCAACTCCCAAACCGGCCGCATACAGATAATTATTGATAGTTTGCTTTATAAACTATGGTCCAAGAATGCTGCTTTACAAACATACAGGAGATATTAGCTTCAGGAAAAATTGATAAAGTAACGAATACTTTCGAAGCCGAGTGAAACATGTAAAGGATTTTGACTTTGGAGTAACAGTTACTAAAGATACATATTTTTAGGAACGCTAAAATTAAAAAATATATTTAGCCTTTGGCACCCCGTACCTCGGAAATTGTTAACTTTCGGATAAGACAAATTTTCCTGAAACGCAATATTTTTGCCTAAATAGTATCTCAGTGAATTTTGACATATTCGTAGTTGTGCGATACTCTTTGGAGATGTACTGTTATCTTGATTCGAGCTATTTACTGCAGTGAGAAGTTTTTATGCAATAATAGTCTTTTATTCTAGAGCTAGTTTAAGTAACCAGAATTTTTAAGAATACAATACTCTTTGAAAGTTACAAATAAATAAGAGATACTTTTTCGATCAAACTACTAAATTAGCATTAATATTATTAATACAGACCTAACGGATCTTGCTGCAATGAGAAAATTTTGAAGCAGTCATTTCTCATTCCACTCGCCACTACGAGACTATCTGGCGATATATCAACTGAGCAAGTAAATGTATTTTCCGCTTTGTCGATATAATATTCATTTCTATCTACGAGGTTTTGGACATAAACTCCCCCATCACTACCACAAATTTGTCAATACATTATTGAAGATACGTTGCTACTGATGTGGTTTAATACCATACCTTAGTCCTCCAACCAATATGTTATTTCTTAAAGTAAACTTGGTTACGTCGGCAGACGAAAATCCCACATTAACGCAACTTTGGCGGTACTGTGGAGTCAACACAAAATTGGGCTTAGTTACTATGATATTATTTTTATCTCTTTTATAATTAAATATCTTTGAGCCTCTACTGAACCACAAGTAATCTTTCTGCAACTTCAAGCAGGGCATGTACTTCTTTCTAACATAAAACAATGATTTCTCATTGTAAATGCCATATTTCCAATTATTTTGCAATCTTAGTTTTTCTAATTTGGTTGGAATCTTGGAAAAGCATCTAGAAAGATGTTAAATGTTACCATCATTGCATAATGCCCCAGCAAAGCTCGCTTACCGTGTTAAGAACTTGTCGTTGTTTTGATTCGTAACAACAGTGGTAGTTTTAATTAATACATTATCCCAAGCATTAATTATATCGCGAAACCTTCGGCAAGTGAGCCTCAATCGACTTAACTCATTTATTTCCAGATAATTAAAAATATAAATTAATAATTCAGTGGAAAATACATCGAAACATCCCGACATTGAATTTGCTTTAAATGATTAAATAAATACAGTGTAATCAAGAGTTTTTACACTATAAAAATGATAAAACTATTAATATTTACTACTTAAACTAAAAAACTAACCTAAAATAACAGATTTAACTTGAAAGTGGCATTTGGTCTTTCAGGAATGGCTACAGTCAGGGGCTCGTTAAAATACTGGATTGGCTTTTGAGATGAACTGTTGCTTCTGGAATTACGTTTTATCATGTTCCGGCTCATAGTAAAACCAAAATCTGATTTACCTATTTCTTGAGATGCGGCATTGACTTTAATTTATTTACTACGTACAATTAAAAATGCAAATTTGTAGTTCTTAAAAAGCCTCAAGCCGCTGCATAGGAAGCATTGTCATATCATCAACAAATGTTTGAGGTTATATTTCTGTTTTCGCTTTTGACAACAAATGTTCTTTACTTGAAAACAAGTATTTTTTAAGTTACAGTTAAGTACAAATAATCCGTAATAATAATAATAATAATAATAAGTCGGTTATAATATGGAAGTAATAACAGTGAAAGATTTTTCAAGCATTTGCCGATTTTGCTTGCATCGAGCCAGGGAGATGAATTTAATTTCTAGTGTCCCTAGTGCTGCAATTTTTCAGGCAATAAGTGGAATAGAGGTAAAATATGACAAAGTTTTACTTTTAACTAGTGTCAAAATAGGTAAATAGTATTGCTTAAAATGATAATATTTACGGTGATTGCTTTCACTTTCTCATTCACCCTCTTGGCAGGGGATAGAGGCTCAAATTAATGTTTTTTGTAGGACTGTATAGTGTTACAAATATTTACTACTTTTAACCATCCGCTAATGAGTAAATCAATTGTTTCTTCGATTACCCTGATTGCCAAATACATTGCACTTTTAAAAGCAATGTTCCTTTTGCACAAGTTGACTTGCTTTTCAGGTTGCTGATGTGTTACCAGAAAAAATGTGCCTGGCTTGCATGGAATCCTTCCAATCATTTTCAAGTTTCATTGAAAAATCAAAAGCAAATATTCAAAAGTTACAAAATATATATGAAACTTCTATTCACGAAGTTAAAGCAGATGATTCGTCATTTTACAACTCAGAAGATGAAGAATTCAGTAATTCGTTTGAGAACAACCATGCCATTCAAGAAGACGGTAGCTGCAAACCACTGGCTGGTGTTAAGTGTGAGCATTGTAACAAGGAGTACTCTCAAAGTACAAAATGCCACTGTCTGAAGCCTGAAGAAAGTCAGACCAAAAACAGCCCAAAGGTAATAACGAGAGCCATTTGCGTGCAGGCATTGTCAGTATAGGTAGATTTTGTTATCATTACAACATTTGTAATGTGTTTGTATTAGAAGCGATTAATTTATTTTATTTGATTCACACCCTCTTGGATCAACATTGGGAGATTTTATTGAACAAGAAATACCAGTTTTTCTTACGGTATTCAGAATGTCCCACCTATGGATACTATAATTTAAAGATCTTTGAGTCCCTCCCAATTTTTATTTTCTTTCTTACCTTAAAGAACACGTCAAATTAAGCACTTTACTCGGATGCTCAATAGTTTTTATAATACTTACCCAAATGAAGTTAACCGTCGGTTGAAAATGAACCGACGGTTGTTCAGTCCTCTAAATTGAGACAACATTCCTAACAAAAATCTCTCTATTTTAAACACAATTCTAAATTGCAAACGTGCAACAAGCATTTTTTTAAATATGTTTTTATTTGGATATTCTAGAAACGCAATTTGCTGTCCAAAAGGGTAACATGTAGAAATTGCAAAGTTTCCTTTAAGACTAGAGAAGAGTTATCGGCTCACTGTAAAAATGGGTTTACTTGCTCCTTGAAAGACTACCAGTGTCCAACGTGCAATAGATGTTTTAAAAAACAGCACAAGCTTAATAACCATATGAGAAGCCATACAAAAATTGCCCCATTTAAGTGCCCAGATTGTGACAAAGCCTTCAAGTTCCAGCAGAATTTGAAAAGGCACATTTTAATCCATAAAGGTATTAAAAAGTTCAAGTGTGAAGATTGTGGCAAATGTAAGTGTAATCCACATTTATCGTGCGAACTTGCAAGATGTAATATATCTGGGAGAATTGTCTGTTCAATTGCTAAATACTTTTTAGCCTTTTCTAGAGCACACGTCCTAAATGATCATAAAAACATTCATACTGGTCACAATCCATACATCTGTGATTACTGTGGAAAAGGATTTAAAAGATATGCCAATCATTTTATTCATGTATACCGACATAAATTGTTGAACGGGGAAGTTAACCAGGCAGACGAGAAAAAATTATACCTCCAATTACAGTGTTCAGTTTGTAATAAAATATTCGCCAGCAGAGGTAGTTTGGAGAACCATTTAACTTTACATCAAGAGGAACCAAGGGAGAAGAAGTTTTTGTGTACAGATTGTGGCAAAGGTAACGTTTACTTTATTATTTATAAAAAAATATTACGGTGACTCAAATAATTAACCCTTGAGCTAAACGCTTATTTTCATATGAAAGAGATTTAATTTTTTTGTGCATGTACCTCTAAGTTGCACTATTTCATAATGCAGTCATGTCCATAAACAAAGAAATAAATTAGATTAAAACTCCGGAAAATTAGTGTCAGAAAATTACGCCGACACGTATTTTAATCTTTTTAAGAGCGCATTTTTTGATAAAATTTTGTGAATATACCGGGTGTTCCAAAATTGAGATACGACCCTTAAATTGACAATTTTAAACGTGAACCCCGATCTTTGTTGGATTTTTTAATTCCATGTACATTAAAATGCATCGCACCATTCTCCCAATATTTAAACAAACATATTTTTTTTTGAAGAACTGCCCATCAATAGTAGAGTAACCGGAAATTTTTTCTTAATTATATTCTTATCTTGCCTAGGTCTCAGTCAAAGGGTGAAGTAAAAATTTTGAATCTCGTTTATTTCATTACGTTTCGGCGAGACAACAGCGCCATCATCAGATTTAAAATTTACGCAAACTCATAATCATGAGTAATGTTTACCAATCGGTAAACATTACGCTCTTTTAGGTCTTTGCCTTCTTGAAACCTTAAATTTGTCGTAAATTGTCAGATAAATTTAAGGAAATTTTAAGACTGATGATGGCGCTGTTGTCTCGCCGAAACGCAATGAAATAAACGAGATTCAAAATTTTTACTTCACACTTTGACGAGACCCTGGAAAGATAAGAATATAATAACGATTACACGCAGTCAGGAAAATAAATCAAAAATTTTTCTTCATAAAAGGTATTTCATAGTCTTCATTTGAGCTAACGAATGTCTCAGTGGCTTGTGATCATGTGCTTAAGGGATACCCTGTATATCTGTGTCTTGCATTTTACCACTGTGGTCAAGTAGGTTCAAGAAAATATTGAAATATATAATTTGTTGTTTTGAATGGACTGATACTATAGTCATAGTTTTGATCAAACGATTGCATTATATTCTGTTTGAAAGTAGTCATATTTGCTTAAATGGTTAAATTTTGCAGGATTTGCAAGTAATAGTCAACTGCAATGTCACATGAGAATACACACTGGCGATAGGCCATTTGAATGTACAGAATGCGATAAAAGGTTCAAGCAGAGAAGTGCCTTTAGTATTCATAAGTTAGTGCATTCGGGAACGAAGCCTTATCAGTGTAGTCTGTGCCAGCAGGTTTTTTCGCAATCAGGGCATTTGAAGATTCATATGAGGGTGCACAGCGGGGAAAAACCGTTTACTTGTGATTTTTGTGGAAGGAAGTTTGCTTTGAATGGCAACTTGAAGGTATGTGTAAAACTCTAATAGTTAGACAGACATCAGACTGAGCAGCCAAATGTGTTGTATTAAGTTAAAACTACATGTTTTTAATTTTTTTAAATATTAAAATTCTACGTTTAGATCGATTATACTAAAGCTAAGTATTTATAATCTCAACGTAAAGTTCAATTTGTTGAATATTAACATTTAAAGGGCCTTCAGTTTAAAACAAGCCACCTTAAGCAATTATTAATTTCGGCAATTTACGGTATTTTAATTTCATGGTTCTTGAATGCCTTCCATTGTGGCCCTGAACAGTCTCAAGAAGTTTGACCCCATAGTTTTAAATCATTGTATAATACAACTTATACTTCTCCAAACCTTTCATAAGTGCATAAAAAAATTCCCTTCAGTGGTTGTATTATGCACGGAATGATTCACAGAATGTGTAATATTTATTTTCTTCGCCAGTAAAACCCATTAGCTGGAAGATAATTCAAATATCTGTATTTTTAGCACTTGTAATTAAGTGGGTTTGAAATATTAATATTCCTGAATTAATTTATTCTCGGCTATTTCGGTCGTTCTCAAGTGCAATCAAAAATTTCAAACTTCTTGCGTTTCAAGCATGCATGCTAAATATATTTTTCACTTTAAGCCTCTGCATAGGTTGTATTCGAGGGTCGCATATTTGTCATTTTCGCTTTGGACTTTAAAGTGGCTTCTTAGAGATTCAAGTTAGAAATACGTGTTTTTTGGGATAATTAGTTCTTTTGAAAATGTAATTACAGCTGTTATGCTTTAAACTACCACCTTGTATCTTACAAATTATAGCTTGATAAATCACTGTAAAGTGACAATGGTTTTACTCAGTCTGTATTCATTAATAAAAGTATGATAATAATAAATATAGTTCATAATTAGAATGTTTACGCAATCTAGACAGTTTCACAAATTTAAACTGAAGGGGGAAAACCCATTTTATCAAGTTCTGGGGTTTATAGTTATTTTTACCTCAAACTGGGAATATTTCTAGAATACAGATGCGATAATCCCAATCACAATTTTCATTCTTTTCAGGTTCATACCAGAACGCACACTGGTGAAAGACCGTTTGTTTGTTCGGTTTGCCAAAAAGCCTACTACAATTCGAGTAGTTTAAAAAAACATATGAAAACTCACGAACAACATTTGTCTGGTGATTAGACCCTCAAATTTAAAGATCTAAAGAATTTAAAAATAAATCTCGAAAAGAATTGGCTGATTATGTACTGTAAGTGTATAATAGATTGAAAATCGGATATGTACCTAAGGTGTTTCTCATTGTCATGTGCATACGAAGGATATAGATTATCTAAACTTCGTTTAACTAAAATTAAACGTTTTGAAATATCCATGACTTTTACTGTAGGGAAATTAGAATTCTGATAAGCCGCGTTAAAAATGCATAGTTTCTAAAAATACACGCAGTTGTATGATCGAGTTATATGCACTACTTTTGTACACCTGTAGCATCTTGTTTACTTTCGCAGTTGTATGACTTTATGATTATGTTCGAGACCTTTATTGTGATCAGATCTTTGTATCAGTTGCTCTAAATAAAATTGTCTTTTTTAAAAACAGTTTATTACGATGTTGATTCATAATCATCGGAACTGATTGAATATCAGCACGAAATTAATTACAGATAAAATTAAAGTAGAAGCACATTTCCAACAGTTTTCACAATATACAAACAAGTACTTAGATTTTTCAACAGTCAGTTATCTTGATGATTGAATGAATTGTTTGTAACTGGTCGAAGTGTGAAATGAACTGAAGAAAATGTTATCATGTCGCCTTGTATATGATTTAAGAAATATTAGCACATTCTAAATGCTTATTGTGAAATATATTTGAATTTATTTGATGGAAAAGCATGCATTTTTTGTTAGTACTTTTTATCAACTACTTATTCCATTTAGCGAACCTTCTTCCTCAGGTAGTAGTAAAACCTTAAAAAGCTTAATTAGCTTCTAAAATATAACGTATGTTGCGACTGTCAACAAATTTGTCATTCATTTATCGCAGGTAAAATGCAATATTCGGTAAAGCGTTTTATTTTATTATCAATCTTCCTTTTCGACGTGATTATTGCGACTGATTATTGTAAAATCTGCAAAAAAGGCACACATACCCTTTGCAGGTATAAGGTAAGTAAAGATCAAATATTCCCAAAAAAGAAAAATAGTGTCTATTTAACGCACAGGAAGGCCCTTCAGATGGTTGCACCGAATATAAGAAACCCGAATTTACAACGAGTGTGAAGAAATATATTATTGATGTTCATAATGATATTAGAAACCATATAGCATCGGGTCAAGAAATCAGAGGGCCCTTAGGAAGACAACCGGCTGCGGCGAATATGAACAGTTTGGTAAAGTCGTGAAAACGAAATATTAGACAAAACAGACCTCAGTAAGGATGAGCTTATGAAAAGCTTCTGAAATTTTAGCAGTGGCATCATGAATTGGCTGAGATAGCGCAGAGGTGGGCAGATCAGTGCGTTGCTGTCGAAGACAAAAATCAACATGATGAATGTAGAAAAACAGGTAAATTGTTCCTTATGTTGAATTTTGCTTGTCTACCGTTAAATGAATTGAAGAACAATATGAAGTTGGACAGAATGTTTTAACGGCACTAACAGCAACTCCCGATGTTCCCGAAATTGCAATTCTGATTTTAAATTGGTATAAGCAAGTCGAAAATGTTTTGCCGTCTGATGTAGAAACATTTTCAGGGTAAGTAATTGCCATTGTTTAGTTAACGTTTGCTATTGAACTATTTGGCTTTGCAAATGACGCCAAACAAATTATTCGAAGTCGGAGCGCTTTCTAAAGCCAGTAATTGTCTTTATATAACTAATCGGCGACTTTCAGTTATTGTTTCGGTTTTCAGAATTCAAAGAGGCAAATATCTAATCGGTCAATACACGCAACTAGTATGGGCCGATACCAGATTTGTTGGATGCGGAATGGCCACATTCCGCAATCGAAATACATCATCTGATTGGAAGAGCAAGTATCTTCATCGGTTGGTATGCAATTACGGACCAAGAGGAAACATGATTGGATCGCCAGTGTACAAAAGAGGCATCCCATGTTCCAAATGCCCGTATGGAAGATGCGATTCCGTTCGAACAAATTTGTGTTCAGGTAAGACAAAAGACTTGAGACTTTCAATTACTATCTTTGATTCACCAAACATTCATTTAATTAAAATTGCAAAGCAAATTGCGGATATATAATGCAACGCCAGTATAAATTTTCTGGGGTTTAGCTTTGATAAATCTTAAAATTAAGGTGAATTTTTTGGAGCATTTCTTGTAAAATCCATCCATATTATGTAACTTTATTGTTTTAATACGTGTCTACTCAATTTAAATAGTTATTTCTAACATTAAAATTGTAAGTTACATACCTTAATTATCCGTCGGATTTAAATTGATTGGATTTTAAACGAAATTCCAAAATATTTAAATATGCGTTTATAAAAAAACATTGTTGATGATCTGACCAACAAAAACCGGCACGCGATTTAAACAAACCGATTTGGGGATGTAAAAACTTGCGCGACAAAAAGAAAGCTTGTAATAATGACTTCGTGAATTAATAATTTATCAGGTCGCATAGTCATTTACTTTTCTCGTATGTAGGTTTGGAACAGCCAAATAATTATGGGAAATTTGGCCCCGGTAGACCAGCACCCTCAGTAAATCCAACCCATCGGGTCGACACTCCAATTTCCCTATTTAACACTTTGAGCTTACAATATATTTTCGCCAATAATTTAACACAAGTGATCAATGGGATACTGCAAAAGATTGACGTGAGTTTGGGACCTAAACAGAATTCGATCGATTCCAGTGCCAGTAAAATACAAAATATTAATGAACTGTTATCAGTGCTCGCGTCAATTATACCAGACTTAAATTTAAGCGAAGCAGGAAATGAAGAGCATAGTGCATATTCTAATAGAATTCCACTCGAGTCGATAAATAGACCATTTTTGCGAAGCGCCTTTAAGAAAACTTCGAATATTTTATATCAGCCTGAAACATTTATCAGTAAGCAAACATATGAGTTGGAAAATGGGCAGATAATTGTTGAAGATTGTAAAAATCACATTGGTGATTGTCAGTTTGAAGGTATTAAGAAGTAAACAAATAACTGCCCATTTGAAATATTTAGATGGTTTCAGATGAAAAACAGCCAGTAATTAGTCAGCCATCTGGAGATATTGTTTTACCGAATAATATGATTTACAGAAAAGCTCAAGGTGTGTGGTTTCACGGAAGATGCCGTTGTGACTACGTATATAGATCAAAACAGTTTTTGCTAAAAATGTCCAAGTTACTCTTAGTGTTTTCATTATTTATCTTATTGTAACGTAATAGAATACTCTATTAAATGATAAAACATAAAGCATGGTTTTTTGGATAATTGAGCAAGTTGTCAGCTGCTCAAAACATTGAGAGTATTATAAAAGAATGTTCAATGAGGATCCCTACGCACTTCAAGCATATATTCGCGATTAAGCGGAAACATTGAGACGAGTAGTTAAGTACTCCATAAACCAGTCTATCTACTATTAATTTTTTCCAGCTGTTCTTGATCCAGTAGTATTTAATTGGTTGGGAATTATAGGAGAACCAATTAGTCACGGAAGGTCCTTTGACGGCGACAGCTGTAACTGTTTATTTAGGGTAAATTAAATATTTGTACTTTTGAAATAAAAAATCTAAATATCAAGTTTGAATATGCTCATTATTTGTTCCATTTAGACTGATCTACTAACATCTTAATAATTTCTATTTTGTTTCAGCAAATAACATATTTCCAACGCATAAGCATCATCTGATTATTCTAACAGACAAATTAGCAAAAATACTTACATCAAATTACTTAAATCCGAATAATTTGTTGTATTAAGTTCGGAGGAATAAAACTATCGATCCTATCATACACAAACACAATTGGCAATGAGATCCAGTTAACTACAGTTTTGGCAAGTAGACCCATTATTTCTGGATATTGATGCGTTAAGAACGCTAACATCGCAGTAATCGAACACAAACCCGCTGTGAACATTATAAAAAACGGTATTTCCTTTTTCGGGTATACCGAAAGTTCGTGAAATGCTGGTAGCAACTCCTTATCAGCACATTCTGTGCATGTAGGGTAGGGATAAAACAGGTGACCTCTTTCCAATGGCGATGGAATGATTCTGAATGTGCCCTCCCAAGTGCAGTGTAGTAAGTTTAGTGCCCCGTCAATAGCTTTCCAATGTGCCAAATGAAAGAAACTGTACGATAACGCTTCAGAGTCTCCTCTTTTTAGCAAATGTTCTGGCGGCAAGATCAGTGGTTTTATTTCAAGAAGATATTTAGGCACATGAGGGTTGAATTCTACCGCTCTATGTATGGCTTCTACTGCTTGGAGTTCGGCGTTGTTTAAGCCTCGCTTTCCAGTAAGGTCTGGTGAAAATCTATCAATAACGTTTCTGAAAAGAAAAACAATATAACTAACATGTTAGCAAACTGCTCAACGAAATAGACAATACCCGGGCAAATTTCGAATAATTTTGGAACTGGAAAAATTATCATTGCTGAGAACGATTTGATTTCTGTTCGAAGCGTTATTTAGAACAATTCTTTCCGGGTTAGTGTGTAGCATTTTTTGCAAATTTATTTATGATCCGTACACTTTTCGATTGATTGATATTAATTTCCAGACAATTTGCGAGATCTTAAGGTGGAAAACGTCGAACTGGAAATTGCAGCTCATAGAACAAATGAATGATTTGTTATCGCAACTTTTCTACAAGTTTTTCACTTAGGCTACTGAATAGGAACACACTTAATATGTGACCCTTACCCATTGGTAAGGGCATATCATTATATGCCAATGCCCTACCAATGATAATTAATTACCCGATGTGTTAATTTCGACATCAAATTTTTACCTTGCTTTCAATAGAGCTGCTGTATAACATATCGTAGCGGACTTAGGTAGTGAAATGTCATCATATTTAGCTAATACAGCCTGAACATCGGCGTAGGCTTGCATTTGTAATAGGGCTTCGATAAGATTCTCGTGAACGTTTAAAAGAGACATTATTGGTGGCACTTCTTTGGTCAAATCCCTGAACATTTTCACCGCTTCTTTTAATTTTCCTAATCTTCTCGCACACATAGCAAGTCGTCTTTTTACGTATATTAGAACATTTGTATCCCTGAAAAACAGTGAATGGGGAGTTACTCGCTTTCGGTATTCAATAATGCGTCAATGTTTATACCTTTTATGTTGAACTTCCATTAGTATACCCTGGTGCTGTAAACCTTGCGATTTTTTATAATTTATCTCTGCAACTTTATATGCTTGTCGGAAAAGATTTTCAGCTTCTGTAATAGTAGTGGCCTCTTCTTCAGCTAATAAAATGTACGCCGTAGCGCATTCGGGATTTTTTTCCAGAGCACTATGTGCTGCTTTCAATCGCACTTGTGGATTTCTCTCTCGCCACGCTGTTTGCATTATTTCATATTCGGCCTTTCCTAAAAATCATTCATTTGGAACATATAGAAGATTAGCATTTCGTTTCCCACCTGCATCAGAATCACATGTGAAAATTGTTTGATGATCTTGAGCCGATAAATTCATATCGTAGTACGTTAGCGGTTCTTTATTCGTGGCCCAGTAAAACCTTTGGTACTCAGCTCCTCGGAATAAACTTAACGGATTTCGCCAAATTTTGCAATCAGGAACTGGAGAATGAACTTGTTGAGTAGTCGTTACCGTGTCATCTTTACATTCCCCACTAAGCCAAGGAGTTATGTAGTTTATTGACAACTATAACAAACATCCAAACTGTAAAAGTTAATTAATGCTGATGACATGCAAATATTTTTTCTGTGCGAGATTGATCTATTATGCGTTGTAAATGCGCTACAAACTCAACGTTGCGCCTGGCGGACGATTGCTTTCACCTTTTCAGGATCGCTATTTATTATGTTTGGCTTAGCTGCAAGCGAAACGTCAGCTAGTAATACGAATTCAATGAGCTCGGGTGTATGACTGTTATTGTTTGTTGTAGTTGCTTTTTAGTAATTACATAATCTAGCAAAAATGCATTTTGTCTCACTTCTTGGACTAAAAAAAATGTGTTTCTTTGCATACAAAAATAGCAGAAACGTAGGTGGTACCATACTTACCGATATTTATTTAAACATTTTATAAAATTTTAGAACATAAACTAGCTTAAAGTGCAGAGTTTCGGTCATATCAGTGGCAAATTAAATCCATTCGAAACCGATTTATGGAAGTCGTAGGTCCCATCATTAGAAAAGTGATTTAAAAATTTGAATTTGTGATTGATTCTTGTGGCATATTCTTTAATATTGTGTTGTCGTTTGATTAAACTGTGTATATCGTGTGTACAGTCATATTCAATTATTGCCGAATTAGTATTACCACATAAACGACTATGATTTTAATTATTAATTTCTTATTCTAAATAATTGTTGTACCACTGTACTAATCCAGGAAGATTAGTGCTAAATAATCAAGCTGGTCTAAATTTTGCTCCTATATTAACAACTTTTTCTGTGCTTTTGTATTGGGCGATTTCTAGTTTTGAGGGTCTTTGACCTCTTCAAGTTCTTATTAATTTTGCGGTTAAAAGCTCGGTGCTCGGCTAATTTCAATACTATGAATAAGAGTTGGTAGAATTGTCTTCCAAGTCGTTTGGAAAGTGCTTTATATACAGCCCCTTTGTGCCTTCGTGCAAAAATACTCATATGTACGACGACTCTGGGCCTACATAATAACAGTTCAGTTTTTTGAAAATACCTGTTCAATAAAGGAAGATCCATACTTTCTAAAGTACCACCATTCACAGATAAGTATAACACCAGATATCAATGAAGATGTTCCAGTTAGCGCTACATAGAACTTAGGAGTCAAATTGCTCAAAAACATGGAAGAATCCCACATATTTTCACGACTATTGTTGATGTCTGTGGTTGGATATTGCTCTTAACTGCTGCACAGTCTCGTTCAGTTTGCCGACGTTGAGTGCACGTAATGTCAATATGTTTTTTTATAAAAATAAATCTTATTCAAATGTTTAAGTACATATGCTTGTTTTCCTGCTGTCAACTGTCACAGAACATACCCACTTAGAATGGAAAATACAATGATAGGTTATGGAGATAAATTCAGCTGTCCATCTAGCGGTATGAGCACGCAAACTATGGGAATGTGAGGAATTTCTCCGATATTTGACTCTTAATGACTGCATTCACCAAATATATCGGGTCAATAAAAAAACCCTGTTATGTAATATTTTATTCAATACGTAGTCAATTAATCAGTTACAACCATATTTTGTTGCTTTCGGGACTATTTGCAACAAATGTTTGTTTCTATGATGTACCAGTGTTCCCCTTGTCCGGATATTATCTGAAAGATGATTGATTTGCTCGGCTCTGAAACAACAATGTGAGGAATTAATTTTCTGGCATTGCCTAAAATCATTTGTCGCTTCAGCAATTTTACTAATTGTTTCCCTCAAATGTCAATTTTGCTTTATAAATAATGCTTTTTCAAGAAATTTCAGGAAACATTGCACTCTCCATAAAAAAACGTTAACAATAATTGGTAATGTCATTACAGTAATTGTAATTTTCTAGAAATAATAAAATAAATCTATTTCGTACTTAGAAAAGTATCTGATAATTCAGCACCCTCAATTTCTTGGCATTTAGAAGCCGCCTTCATTAACTTTATAATTATCTGCCTTGAATGTATGTATGCTCGCACAAACTGTATTCATTTATCTAGAATAATCAAACTTATTTGTTAGTTACCTGGCTTCAGATTTAAAGTTGGTACAGCATTCCATGTTAAATTCGTGCATCTACTATCAAATACTGAATACTAAGCTTTAAGATGAGCTGCACATTTYCACTTGTTTTCACCACTATCKGGAGGACCCGGTAGAAAGTCAAAATTTTAACAGCTTTTAACAAAGTTTGTMAGGAAATGTGAAAAATGCAGCCAYATTGGGTTCACAAACGGGCACTRAACACTTTTTCCTCTRGGCGTTAAAGTTCCGACATAAAATCCGCCATGACCGTATTCTGAAAACGTCTCTAAGCAGCATCTCATCATGTAGTCAAATGATAATGCAGTTTTAGAGAAGAATTTTAGAATTGTTTAACAAAACGATAATGTAAACACTCGCAGTATCTCGGAAATTCGCAAGCTGAAGAAGAAGTACAGTGTTGTCGCCTCACCCAATGACAAATTACTCAAATTAATTTCTTAACCGAATATCAATTTTACAACTATGATTAAATGAAAAAATACACAACAATAATCCGGGTATCAAAATCTCGAAAAAATTCGCTATATAAGAAAACCCCCGTTCACTGATTTTCTTTCAAATTTTGTTTATACCGGTTTGCCTCTCTAATCATTATCTAATAATCTCGTAAGTTGACCTAGAACCGGCTACGTTGCATTATGGGTGGGCCACATATCTACCAAATACCAAACTGCTGGAAATTTCTGCCAAAAAAAATTTCTGTGGAGCGACATCGACAATATCGAGGTACGAAATAGCATGTAAGTTCCGCACTATTTTGTGTCAACTGTGCCGGAGCGTCATTTTTGCTGTCAGTTGAAGCGACAAAGCAGTAGTTCCAATATGCATATAGTAAACCGACAAGATTATTTTCAAAACCCTCTTTATAAGCCCTTCAAGCAATTGATAAAAATCGAAAGATCTTAATGGAAAAGAACATTTCACATGAGAATTATATATATTTTTTATAAGAAAAATGATAAGTATTTTTCGTTTTCACTGCAGTGTTAGGGTGTTGGCAGCAATAGACGTAATGTATACAGAAAGAGCTGTCAGATTTTGTAATTGAGAAAACGTTAATTGTTACCTCTTTCATTTGCGAGGGAAAGCAGTGAAATGGAGAAATATCTCAATTAAGTGATTAATGAAATAAAATAATTTTTTTCCCGTATCAAAGCATGCTTGGTGCGCATTTCAATACTAAGAATAAGTAAAATTTTAATTAACAGGTAAATTAATTTAATAGGTAAAAAACAAATAAAGAAACTCTAAGACGGATGTCAACTGCGGCGAGTCATAATTTTTGTAATATAATTGATACAATCTAACTGCGCAATTTTTGCTGTCTTTATACTAAACCATATTTAATTACAACCCGATTTAGCTATGCAATATATCGATTTTAATTTGTTTACTCGCAAACGGCACGTCGTAGAAAGAAACGTCAAGAGACTTTTTCTCTTCCCAATTGAACAGGAACTTGACACATATTATTTATTTTCGGAAAAATCAGTGGCGTAACATTTTTCTATTTAAAATTATCTACAGACGTGTCTGTACCCACGCCACTGGAAAATATAGAAACAAGATTTGCATCACAAAACGCATATATATAAGCATGTTAAATTTAATTATAATATTCCAAGCGGTTTCCGAAATATTAGTAAATAACATTTTTTTTAATTAAAACTTTAACACCCTGTAGATCGGAAACTAATGGTTTTCGGAATCTGGTCTATTAACGAAATATGTCCAAAATTAATTGCAGTCACCCCCTGCAAGGAATGCATCTACTTACCAAATACCCTGTATACATAATAGATAGTTCTTCTGGAGGTGTTGACAAAGAACAAAAAAATTATAAAAAAAAGGATTTCACCCAAAAAAATATTTGCAAAATTTTTATTTTCTACTAGAGAATGAAAGGACCTTTAAATTCACTCTCAAAGCCGCTATCCCAACATACTTATGAACTTAAATATTTTTTCATTTCTTGTGTCCTCAATTCTATACGAAAAAAAAAATTATATTTAATTGCATTTGTGTTGTTGAATGCTTAGTTTTGTTCATATATTTGCAATTAACGTCTCTTTTAGTACCTAGTACATGCACTTGCTAATAAAAATCAGTTTACAGAGAAAAATAAATAAATATCCAGATATTCAAAACATTAGCAGGAAAAACCTACCTTAAAATTGTCTTCTCACCTTCATATAAATAGTTGCTACCATAAAATACGTAGAAGCAAAGTACTCAAAATATCAAAGTAAAGATGCCGTATCGATGAAAGCAACAAGAATATTGGTTGGTTCTATAATATAATGTTAAAGTTACTACGTTATAAATTATTATTGCTTTTGGCCCTCAAAAAATATTTTATAAACTTACAATATTAATGAAAAGTTGAGAGTATTAGAGATCGCTTTGCGATGTTGATCTTTAGGAAAAAAAATGTCAAATCACTACTAAACTTTTAGAATAGTTTAATTAGTACGGAGGAAAAGTAGTCCTTTTAATGGCGTGTTCAAAGTAGTCCTTTTTATGGCGTGTTTAACAGGCCAAACGAAATTAGGTTGATAATAGAGCAAAAAAAACTTAACGCCTCCACTACTTCATAACATTCAAGCCTAAACTAAAATATAAACATTGCGGTAACTTAATGAAGTGCTGATTTTATCATGTTTTAGAATATTGTGATCTTTTATTTTAAAAAAATGTTAATATGTCAGTTTCATTTATAGTAATCACTGTTCAAGGGAAAGGAAGCTAACAGACCTGCCAAACAATTGGCAAAACTCGAAAATTAATTAATAATATGAAAGCTTAGAAGCCCTGGCAGATCAAGAATATTCTATTTAAAATTCTGAAATGTATGGCGAACCTCAACACTCTAGGATAAGCCAATTAGAGTGCTAAAAGCCTCACACAAAAACAAGCCCGGCTTCACAATCTCACTTTCTGATGCATTTTCCTAGCTCTTCCATTCCATCCATTTTTCTCAGAGTGGATTCACTCTCACATATTGTTATAGTCGGCAATCAGTTCAAGAAAAAATACAGGATTAATGTTGAAATGTAGTTGTAACTTGTATATTTTCAAAAAAAGACCAATTAAAATCTTAAAATTTATTGTTAAATACATATTTATGTAATAAAAAATCTGCTTTAACATATCAATAATTATATCATTATTCTTTGCCATATTACCTAGAAGGAAAACATAGTTTTGATTTAATCCTGGCAAACAACAATACAAAACACTTTTCTAAATCTGCAAAAAGCCTATAAGGGCGCATCAGTCTTTTTGCATTAAATATATTAAGTCATTTTTTTAAGTAACGAAAACAGATACTTTTCTATCTTAAATTCGATGGTAAGTCGATATCTAAAAATTGTTCAACATGGTCTAAAAATGCAACTTTTGTGATCTAATTTTTGAATCTTAATTGTAACGTCTTCTCTTAATACTAAATAGAAATTGGATTATATGTCCTTAAAATCGCATAATGAACATAAACTAAAAAGAAAAAATAAACTTTTTTACATTAAGCGAATACGAAAGCATTTTATAGCGAATATAAATGAAACACGGCTATGTTTAAGTTTCGTTACCTACAAGAAGACTTATTTCAGTCAAATTTAATCATATACATTATAGATTGTATTGTTCATTTATAAAATGGATGGATATTTGTCAATAATTATCTACTATATATAAAAGAGTACTTCGTATTTGCAACATTGTAATTGGATGCACCTACATTTACGGTACTTTAATTTCCAACATTTCATACAAAGACGGTTTTGTCATTTAATTTCACACTTTAAGCTAATAGTGAAAGCGGACAATTTACACTGCATTCGCTATAGAAATTATTTTTGAGATTCGATCATAAATAAGCATATTTAATGATTATTTTCACAATATTTACAATTCATTATGGCTATCAACTTTTAGGATTAATTTTATTTTCAATGTAAGACAAATTAAACTTACTGATCTTGATAATGAAGTTATATACATTTGCATGTAGATGTTTGTGTATTGGGGGTGATGGTTGTCTTCCTAAACGTTTACTTTACATCATCAGCAAGCAGGAAGCACAGAACGGCATAGTAAATTACCCATATTAATTTACAAATAATTCCTTATGGCGCTGTGGATTTATGGTTAATGTTTACATTTCAACTCGAAGGTCAACATTTGAGATAAAAAATTCATATTGTGATTTTTTACGAATGTTGCACATTCAGTTTTTGATTAATATTCCCATTCTGACTGAAATTGTCCATAGAATAATTCTCAAAACGTACTAATAAAATTATATTATTATCGCCCATTGATCCTAATCATCACAATTGACTACCTAAAGCAGCGACTAGCTTCAATTATAAAAGTTTTCCATTCTTTGTCTACAATAATTATGAAATACATATTTTTGTAGTGGTTCACAAAATAAGTTGGAACATAATTGGCAAAACATGCTTGTTTAGGTGCTTGTGGTAAAGATCTAGACAGGCATCTTTTACCAATTAGTAGCATCACGCTCACCAACAAACCACAACATCAGTATATTTCACGTATATTTCATTATTCGGCATACCTAAACTAAATAATATGAACTCAAGAGCATAAATCTAGATTGAGCATTTAAAAATATGAACTTACATAGTACTAGACTTGTTACTTGCTACAAAAGGCGTGAAGATGGCTCAGTTCATTTGGTCTCACATTACGCTAAAAGTAAAAGGCAACTGGAGTCTCCTGAAGCTAAACGTAAAAATAAAAAATACATAATTTATACACTATAAGAGTATTATTTTATCGTGAAAGCAGGGGTAACATTTACTGGGACCTATCTATTCAAATAAACTTGTTGATATGAACAGTTTCACTAGTCTCTTATATATTTTGTTAAGAAATTAAGCTAAATGTTGTACGTTGAAATGAAATATATTCTAATAAATAGTTTCTTAAAGTTTTTATCAAATAAGTAGAAACTTTTCCTAATTTCTACCTTACCGCCTACCATTCTACATTATCAGGAGACCGTAGTAAAATTTTTCGAAAACATATTCTAACACATTATTTATTTAATATCGATATAGAACTTAAAAAAATAAATTGAGATGGTACAATTGTTGCGATAGTTGATAACTTGCACGTGACATACGCTAATTAGTCTCTGTAGTCACTCGTTATACTATCGTTCATCAAGTCATAAGGATCGGGAAACTAAACTCAAACTTTTATATAAAAACAATGTTTAATAGATTTGCTTTTTAAAAGTTGCAATTAAATATTTTTATTTGTTGACAAGTTGAATAATTTCTTTTACTTGATCATTTATAAAAGTCCTGGTTGTGGGCGATAAATAAATTTTCTTATGCAAAAGAAATTACTGCGGTGTTGTTTTATTGTAAAAACCCCCATTCGATATATCAATACTTCTAACTGTTTTAATGCTTCATTTTAATAAAAGTCCCTTGCACGAACCAACAGTGGAGCCATAAATAAAGAAGTGGAATGTTCAAGTCTAATACTTACATGTAGATGGCATAAATGAAAAGGAATTTTACAAATAAACAATCCCGCACGTAGTTTGACCCTTAATATTGACAATTCACACTATACACTCTTGGAAATCATCACAGAGCTAAAGTATCCCATTAGTAAAATACTGAAAACCATCGTACAGTTTCGTTGATAATGAGTGAATGCTGCCCTCGACCATCCGATTTACCTCCAATTGAAGCTGTTCCTCGGTCATGTTCATGTGGAAACGGTTTCGAAGATTTTGGACCGTGGGTGCTCCTGATTTGAAGCAGGGCAATTGATTACCTAGAAATAATAGGATTTTCTGTGTCATTTGTATTTGTCGATATCCATCTAAAATGTTCCCTTAGATTGGACGCTTAGTAGCTTCTCGATTTAACTAATACAGGTTGGTCTAAAATATATCTCTTAACCGGCAGGTCTGGACTTGTTGGTCATTAAGGATAAAAGACACCAAATCATTACGAAGCTTTTGGAATAGTTTATTTCCAAAAGAAAGTCAAGTCACTTATGTCAACATTTCGAAAAGTTTTCCTTTATCAATTTTTTACCGTAAGGGGTTTTCGACTATTTTTTTGTTATAGAGCTTAACTCCGGCATGAGGGGTTAATTTTGGGACACAATGTACACGAAGGAACTTTGTTGATTTATTTATGAAGTGAATCTGCTGCATGTATGTATTATTGCACCTTTTCCCACCACGTTACCATTTGAAATTGAACTAGTTTAAGCCTTGCAGGTTTTTGAAGCCAAAATTTCAAAACCGAATTTATTATAATTTTTTGCCTCAGTTGGAACGTGATTATGTAGAATTTTAGCTGAAAAATTCGACTACAAAATGTAATTCGAATTTCAAGACATCCTGTATAGTTTAGAACGAATTTCTGTAAGTGTAGCTGTAGCACAGGGTACCCAGAGGACAAATTTAAAATTTTCAGATAGTAAAATCGCGTTGTAACCAAAATTTTGGCTTTGTTTTGATAAAAAAATAAGATATTATTTAATATTTCGTAAACCGTTTTAGATAGGTGCAGGAAGAGTTATCGAGTTTAATCACGTCTAATACGACATCGACCATGAATCACCCTGTATAAATCAATAAAATATTTATTCGCAATAAAAAATCGCTTTAATTTTCATATAAAACGAAATTGCTTTCGGAACAACTCAATACTTTGTGGTAAAAAAATACAATGTTAGTCATAACAAGGCAAAACTTACTTGACCGCATAATTTCCACCAAATTGATTACCATGCCATGGTGCTTCCTGGCCGCTACCAAACCTTGAAGAATGAGAATCTTGAAATATTCGAACATGTCCGAATGTTCTCCACCCATCACTTCCACAAACTCCGGAGTGAGTTTGAACGGCGATTTTTCAAATCCCAAGTTTTTCGGCGATGTGGACAAAATAAAGCCAAAATCTATATGTATCAAATGACCATCGCTCTTCAGTAGAATGTTTCCATTATGCCTGAATAACAAATGGGATCTTTCATTCCTCGGTAGACTTTTACACAGCAAATACATACCTATCTTTAACTTGAATTAAATAACAAATTAGGCAGTAGGCGGCACAGCTTTGAACAAAGTTTTTCTGCGCTGTTAGGAACGCTTCAGACGTTTCGGGTCCATATTCCTTTTTAAAGTATTGAAGTAATGAAAGTTGGCAATGTTTCTTCACTTGATGAAGAGACACTGTGTTGAGAATGGGTTCGATAAGGCCACTGTCGTCTGAGAGCACCAATATTCTTAAAAAGAAACGAAATTTGAAACTTCAATGCTCAGGGTTTTGAACGATTGACTTGGTGTACACAGGTCAGTTAAGCGATTGCTCAGAATATCTGAAATAAGTCGGCATTATACACATTTTAGTTAAGCAAATAACGGGCAATTAAGCAAGGTAATTCCGTAATCAATAATGAACTGCATGTTGAACATTGTTTAGGATATTACTAAATTTAACATGAAACGGTACACATTTAAATATATTTTCTTTGCTTGATCACTTTGATTTTAAATTAAAATTACAAAATTCAACATACTATATTCATTTTTTGGCTACGTAACCCAATAACGAACGCGTATACCTACTGTCACTTTTCACCGAATTGTACAACATGACCTTTTAAATTATTTTAAAAAATCTCATTAAAAAAATAGAAAAATATAACCATCATCATTTTATTTTCAACCATACTATGTACTTCAAAGGTCTAAAAATAAATAATTTGCCTACAACTGTCACACTTTAAAATTAACGATTATTTCAGCCTTCATTTAATAAGTTCAATGTCGCCTCGTTGACAAATAGAATATCAAATAATTTCTATACATTTTACGGTATAGTTCATTCAAATTTTGAATTTTTTTGGAAAACTAACTGAACTGATCGTTGTCTGATTTTCATAACAAATCGTATTTTTTTAAATCAAAATAATGTATTCTTGGACTACCTATACGGATGGATCCACAATGGTACATGTTCTATTTCCCATATTTTCTGGAATACACTCAGCAATTGGAAGGCCATCAATTCCTGTCTCAAATCATCGCCGCATTTTACAATGCAAGACAGCAGCTTCCAATTTGATAGATGGCCATATGGAGAAGTTTCTCGAATTCTGGTCTCCTTATCCTAGACAAAAGGAAACGAATGTAATGTTTTTTGATAACATTGCGGCGTCATAACAGAATCCTAATTTAAAGTCATACCTGCCAAGGTTCCTTTAAAACGGCAGCTGAAGGATCTTCGGGATCGTGAGTGAACTGTTTGCTTTTCTCTTCGTGGAAAAAATCTGATAACCGTCTCCGAATCTCACTCGCAGGAATGGATATTGCCGGAATACCGGAATCGCTTGAATCTTGGCTCATTTGGGAAATTGTGTCTCTGTCTACTGTTTTATTCATTTGCGTATACTGCAACGACAGGAACTGTTGAAAATTTATTGAAACTTAGAACGCACTGAGCAAGTAGCGTAGCAATATGTGATATTAACCTGTTGAGAAATTTCATCATCTTCCTGGCTCCAGTCAGGATCGATGTCATCGTAACAACCACCACAAACGCTGAAAGCAGACAGGGACAATGAGTCGTGTTTTAAATTTTCTTCTGACTTAGTGTGTCGTAAAGTAGACATAATCTTTCCGGGCACTGAAGAGCTGTAGATATCATCGACCTCCACTACTTCCACATAGATTATGTAGGGAGCCTAAAAGGACAGCAAAATTTCGCAAAATGCCAACATAACTTTTCGTAACACAATTACCTTGTCTTTGGAATTCAACACCGCCGCAACTTGTGGAGGAATCCTAACTACAAAATGTGGAGATTCTGTGTTCAACGGCAACCATACTCTAGCCGGTAAGTTAAGATTTAATGTAGTGAGTTCTGCTACCAGTCTCGTCGTTTTCGCTTCTTTAGTAGGTATGGAACTTAAAAGTTTTCCTATTAGGATAAGCGCCTGCATAAATTCCAATTCAGGTCTCAGTCTTGGAGCCTAAAAGCCATACGATAAGTTGAAGGTTTGGACGAAAACGTGAAATCTGAAACTCACCAAGCAGGTGCAATCAGTCTTTTCTCCCCTAAGATCATTTACCATACTTCTTCGACTTTCGAAACACATGCATCCATTATCGAAAGCTCTGCCTGAGCTTAAGTCTCCCAAGCATAGTTTCGCAGGAGTTGCTTTCAGTTCAGCCGTGCCCAATAATGCTGAAGCATCGCTCTGAAAACATTAAATACGCCAATCAAATACATATAGTAATAAAACCGTAATACAAAATGTTGTGCCGTTTTCAAATGAAATAACAATAACTGAAACCCAGGTCAACACCAAGGTCGAAAGCTTTAATGGCCAGAATTTAATAGACGATAAAATTTCCGAAAATACAAAGCAATTTTACATGAACAATCAAACTTCGTTATTCGTTCGAATAACAAAGTTTGCAGCAGGATTCAATTTAATAAAGAATTATATTTATCAATATCCCCACAAATATGTGGATACTTTGTTACAATTTGATTTTATTTACATATTAATTTGAGTCGTTAGAGGCAGGACCTAAAGCAAACATATAAGCGTCCCTCCTTCCAGCGTTCAATTGTTCATCAGGCGTTACATTACCTGTAAAGACACAATAATGATATTGTCTTAATTAAGTTGGTTTAAACTATCACCGCAAATTTCGTTCTTTATAGGAGCCGCAATATTAAATGTGTTAGTCTTTTATTGTACTTGCTCAAGTGCTTCATTTTTAGTCTTCTGCATTGCAGTAAATAAAGAGGTCCAAATAAAATTTAGCTTTTTGTTGGATATTTCACACTGCCATATATTGTGTTAAGCGGAAATGCACATCATTCTTTCTTTTTGAATGATGTGTCCAGTATAAGACTCCTAAGAAACTTTATTGTCTTTCTTCGCGCTGGACAGCGAATTTATTTACTTTCAGACTATAATACGGTTTCTTTGACTGAAGGTGGTGGTGGACTGAAGTCCAAATTATAATCCATATATAATAACTAATTGTTTTCTTCTCTAACGTAACCCCATCCTTCTACCTCAATTAATGATGGAAGATTTAGACTCGCTTATATTGCTTGAATTTCGCCACTCGGTTTTTCAAATGAGCCATGAATGGTTTGTAAAAGTTTCCCGTTGTACTAGTTTTAATAGACTGCATAATCATTTAAGCTTATTACAAGGTAAACAAAACCAATATTTGCATGTAAACCGCAAAATCGAGGCTAATAACATTCCAGCCATTGGAATTCCATATTATAAAGCCATGTGTTATAACAATCTTTTCATATGTGAATATTATAGTGCGTCCAAAAACATATAGTCCAGCCAGATGATACTTTAAAAGGCCTGTTTCGGGCACTAAATCGATCGGCAATAGTTTGAGCGCGATTTCTCGCTGTGGTACATTGTTTAAATAATTAAAAAAAGTGTTGCGAAATTAAAAGGTTGATGCTACTGAAAAAAAAATTAATACTTTTTCTCCAAGTATTAAAAATACTTACAATATAAGACAAACTAAATGAAAATTCGTTTATTTGCTTACTCAAAAATCCGCCTGATATTAAAGTGTAAATTTAAATTGAAATTTACTATAATTAATTTAGTTTTGCTTCAAAAAAATCGTACAGTACTTTTTCTTTGAAGGTCTTTATACACTTTATAAGTAAGCTAAAGCCATACAGCTTAAAATATTCATAGCTCTTTGTTCATTTCTATTTGATGTTAAAAAAAAGCTCTTTTTCGAGACGTCGGAGTGACTTCTCGAATGATCTATTTTACTCGTAAGAAGTTATACCACAACTTACAATAAAGGAAAAGTTTATTAATGAAGAGTAAATTGTTTAAACATTGTTGTAAGTTGAAAATCAGGAATTTTGCACGTACGTCGTTGACAGTGATTTCATAAAGGTCGTTGATAAACAATTCCAGCGCGGGACAGCGGCAAGCGAGCCTCGCACAAATTCGTTATTTTCAACATAATGTTTAAACAATTTACCAATCAGTAATGAAAATTTTCTTTATTACACGTAGTAGTTTAACTCTTTACGAGTAAAATCCAGCCTTAGAGAAGTCTGTTCGACGTCTCAAGAAAAACTTATTTAGAATCTGGCAAGAGCTTTTTTTTATAACAAATAGGAATGAACAAAAATTTCGAAAGTTATGCGCAAAAAACGGAGTTTTCGCATTTTATTTACTTATTTAAATAATGTTCCACAGCCGGAAATCGCGCTCAAACTGTTGTCCCAATATTCTGACATCCTTCCAAAGTTCCAAATAACTTCCAATAATCTTTTACCTGCATTTATTTAGTGCCCGGAAAAAATCTAATCCGACTGAACTGAATCAACAGACTTTCAATATGGCATCTTTAGCTTTGAGGAATTAGTCTACATGAAAATAAAACTTCTCCATCAATTCAAAACGATTTTTATGAGTTTGTAAAGTTTGCTTATACCTCTACTGTTTTCCTGAATTTAACCTTTCGAAGTGGCACAATACTGCATCTTTACTATTGGTCACTTTTACTTAATTGAAATGTACATAAAACCTTGTAAACGCGCCTGATTAGCGTTCTTTTATACATAACGCGTTATATCGATCTGTGAGAGGATGCAACTGAGAACAACAATCTTTTCAAAATTATTTCGGTTCCTACATCTAGTGATCTACACTACAGCTTACCTGTGATCTTTGATGCGATTTTTTCAATGGTAAATTTACAGTAAGTCTATCAGTTAGAGACATAGACATTTTATCGTGATTTGAGAAGACATTAGCTAATTGGTCTTTGGGTCTCAGCTCATCAGATAGTATCAAGTTTCGAAGCTTCACTCCATGAGGCTTCTTTTTTGACGGGACCGTCACATCTGTACTGTAAGCGTGCAACAGCCAGGCACATTTCAGAGAAAAGTCTATGGATTTCCGGCATCTGAAACAAATAAGTTTAGATAAGCATTAATTTATTTTTAATTGAAAATTAAATATAATCAACTGATAAAATCCCTTGGAATTTTAAGTACCTATAATATTATATTGAAACTACTAGACTGCAATCTGCGGTTTCATCCCTTACTTTATTCTTTAGTCTTAGTAGGACTCATACAAGTTGTCACGTAAGCACATGATGAGAAGACGATCTGACTTAACTTTGATTAAGAAACAAATCATGGATCTTCTGTTATTAATGGCAAAAGTTAATCAAAAAAATTATACTCTTTAAAACGTCTGGAGAATACGGTGGATTTGAGTGAAACACGCCGTAAATTTGTTCTTATATAAGACTTATATTTTGACGAAGCAGCGACTTCATCACGTTTGGGCAAGTGGTAAATTATTCAATGTCTTGGTACAAAAACTACTAGACCTATTTCTTTGACAACGACCGGAATCAACTCATTTTTTTGAGTTTGGTTTGTAAAATCTTGAAGCATTCATCGTTTCTGCGCAAAAATATTTTTGTTTCTTTGCTATTTAACCATTTCGACAAAGAATGGGACACCCTGTACACGTTCACCGCTGAACAAAACGATACTGAGCCACTCTTGAGACATACAAGCTTTTGCATGAATGAAAGAACGGATTTAGGAGGCTGAGCTGTTTGGCAAAATGCTATTAAACATTAGAACAAGATGAGAACAGCAGAGTCAAATAATTCAATTGCATAACTAATAACGGCATCAACCACTTACAATCCTGCTTTAAGTTGCCTTGTAGTGCTCACTCATTTTTTAAATTGCTTAATAAAAATTCAATTTTTCCTCCACGACAAATTTGATAGCATTGTTGTTTTGAATTATGAAATATTGAAGCTTTTCTATTTAATAATTCTGTCGACTAGCTCCTAGAGCACTTGGCAAAAGGAGCGGCTTCCTTCTTTTCAAGTTTTCAGTTGAATATTGTTGGAAATGTTATCAACCGAAACGTTTTGAAAAACATCTGTAAAGCAATGGAAATTCGAATACGCTATTGAATCAGTGCACGATTGTTTTTATTGTGAAACATTTTTTAAAATTATTTCTACTAATAAACATTTGCTTTATTATGTGCTGTAAACTCTGTATCGCCATGATAATTTTGTTTACAATTACAATTCATCGACAAAACTAGATAATAAAAAGTGTTATATGTTTGCAACTTGACTCAATTAACCACATTGTCTTCATTAATTTGCTTATGCAGCAATTATCAATGCAAACTATTGAACAGGATGTAAGCTAAAATGTCCATATTAAACAATTTCCAGATAAGTTATGAGTAAATAATATATCATTATTATGCAGAAATGTGTAGGCATAAAGTACAACACATTTGTGTACATAAATTATTGTAAAATATTGTTAATAAATGAAATAAATTGATGCAAACGAATGCGTTGCATACTTTTGCAAATAAATTACTTGGAGTGCCATGTGAAAGGATTTGCTGACTTCAAGATATTTCAATTATTCAATGGGAAATGGGCGATTACCAAGTGAAAATATGCGTTTTTAAAAATATCTAGCAGCTTTCATAAAATCCTAGTACTGAACACGATCATATCACTACAATACAGATGTATCAAATGCATTATGGAATTTTATTGGTAACATTTTGTAAATATTAGTTGGTTGAAATATTATTGGCAACTAATCTATAAATAAAATCACATAAACGGTAGGTAGCATTTAAATAATATTTATAAAGTTTTTATAGTGGATTATTAATCACATATCGATGTATTTGGAAAAACATACGACCGCCTGCGCCTCCATCAATATTGGTATAAGATTACACTTACACATTACGTTGTTGAAACTAACAGATTAATTAAACATTTTTCTTTATTTTTAACTTGGTTAACTATTTTTTTTTATGTGGCAATTTTCTAATTTATCCGCCCTCTTTCATTTTTGCATGCTATGACAGTTGCATTATAATATAATTTATGCTAAGGTTGTATTCATATTATCTGCAAATGCAAAAAAGGAATACAAGAGTCAGAAACGTTAAAATAGAATGCGAAAAATAAAATATATAAACATACATTGTAATTTGCCACGGTTCCCATTTCATATTATTGAAACCCTGATGACAAAATGAGGGATAAAACAAGTACATCGATCATCTCTACCATCAAGTGCGTTTAGCTGTTTATATATTTATCGCCAATTATTAAATCTAACAGTGTTATTACTCAGAACAGTTTGGTTTCCATGCAAAAATAAAATATCGATAAAATGCATAATTACCATTTACAAAACTAGGTGACGTAAAGAGATCGCACAATTGTAAATTGGAATAAAAAGCGATTCCAAGTTTTGCAATGAGTCATTAAAATAATGGGTTTAGTTTAATTATACGCCAAACGAATTCCAAAACATATTCATCTATTAGAAGTAGATGTGCATAAAATACTTTAAACACAATTCTTTATAGAAAGTTAAAACATTTACGGTACGTAATATTTGTTTATAATTATAAAAGCATTAGTACATGGCTAATTTATACAGTGAGTAAGGAAGAACACTAGAGATCACTCCTTGAAAACAATACTAAAGTTAGAATGAAATGAAAATGAAAATTTACACAAATTTAAATAACTGAGTTCCTAGGATAGATACCCCCAAAGTGCAGAAACATACTTTGACCAAGTTAAATTCGGCTAAAGACGGATAGAATAAAATAAAATTTGGTTAATATTATGTATTTTAAATATCTTTGAGATTTGCTGTAATGGAACAAATACATTTCTAATTTGACTTTAGATCGCTTTGACCTAGTTTATAATGCATTATTTGGTGTGTAAAATCCTATACAACAGAGGTATGTGTATTTGAAAATGCAATAAATTATACACTTAAAGCAAAAGGGACCAACAAGGGCTTTTCTCTTTGGTGCGTTATGCTTGAGGAAAGAACCACCTTTCCAATTTCTAAGTGCACCTTTTTGCTAAATAGGGCAAGCTTCCTTCATATTTTTATTTCCCACGGTTAAAAAGTGACAAAACGTACCCGAAACAGCGAAACGTTGTCAGCCTTAATCGTAGTGTAGTGCAAGATTATTCATTGATATTTTGCTGCATAATCTCTTTGAACATCTGGTAAATTTGATTGTTAAATTAATTCCTTATATTTGGATAGTTAGATTAGTAGTAGTAGCTTTTGTTGCCGTGCAATATTTTTTCAAATGCCTCCAATGTTAACTAAATAGCACATAATAAAATACCAAAAGTTGGAATTTGTAATCATCGACCATTTCGATTAAAGCAAAGGACATGTTTGCGTGTCATGCAATTATTTTACGGCGTTTAATTAGGATAGCTATATTATACTTAAAAATACCCAGTTCGCTTTGAACATTTATATGGGATATAAGTATAAAGGTCAGAACCTCAATTCAATATGTGTTTGATCGTTTTTTTTTCGGAAACCCTGTAGATGATTTACATACAAATCTATCGAACATGGTCGAAATTTTTAGCACATAAAGTACCGCCTTAGTACTAAGACCTTATAAAGAGCAATTGAATGCTATTTTTCAAATGTATGTACTCGTTCTTATAACATTAAAGGATATCATCATGCAGCCATTACTGGTTGATAAGTAAACATTAGGAATTAACTACGGACATTTCCGATTTTCTTCATTTGATTGCAAATGCTATTGTTCAATATAACGGTACTTCAGTTTGAAAAAAATTTAAACTTTCATTTGGAGTTTGGATTTTTTACGGTTAAAATTAATTTTCCTACAACGTTTTTCATCAACTCTCTACATACCTTCGGGTGATCATCAATGTTAAAATTACTTACAATTAACAATAAAAAGTTCGCAATTTATTTACAATCACTGATAGCAATTATCAGCATCTGCTCTGATTTGATGTCGGATTACCATTTAATGATATTTGCAGTTTTCTAAACTTTCTAATAATTAAGTGACAAAATCAAGATCAGTTCTATGATACTTTCTTAATTCGTTTTAACGATTGTTTTTGCATATCTCTAAAATTATAAAAGAAATAAAATTACCAACTCTTAACTCGGTCATTAGCATCACATGAAAATGAAAGTAATATAAAAATTTTAACGAAAGTTGATTGTTCTATATCTGGAAAATGTATTTTTTGTAGTTCTCAGTATCCCCTGTTAAGAAATCTGAGTATTTTTGGGGCGAAATTTATTACTAGCACTTTAATTAAATATCGTAAAAAAATGTATTTTTATGTTATTTACCGCACTTATACAACACACTGTTTAAAGTGTATGGACAATGATTTGTAAACCAATAAGAATAACGAAAAATAAAACGAGTTAGTGTGTTTTGTAAGTATCAACAAAAATACATCAAACACATCACAAAGTAAATAACGAATCGCGACATTTTTTCATATTTAATTCTATTTGCCAGTCAAGCACAACCGCGGGCTTTACTCGCTTTACGACTAATTAACTAATTACTTTAAATAGGTTTCAGCTGCCACATGACGTTGACTGATTTAGCAAATTGTTCACACAATGTTCCAAATATTTGAAATCTGGTACAAGGTGCAGTAACTAACCAGAGCAACAATATTTACAGTTCTACGATTGAATAAACATCTAGAGATAAATGCGATTTTAGAATATAGGCTAGTGAAAGTATAACATCAAGACCACTGCGCTCAACAAACAAATCTACATTAACGCATCTAAATTTAGAAACAACCGGAATACACTTTGGGGTTCCTTTTATACCAGACATGATCCACCCCGTTCCCATTTCATGGCCTAATTTTCCATTTGTGCTCGTAAATCGCGGAAATGGGGTGCGCCGTCATCATAATGAATCCTAAAGGCTGAAATGGGGCTGCATTTTTATTTGCTTCACCACGGAAAATTTATTTTTCAGTAGAAAGCTATATTGATGTCACAAGAATGCTTACAAACTTAATGGATGTGACTGTAAATA